AAAACACACATACACACAAAGAGATTTTTAGTGTGTGTGTGTGTGTGTGTGCACGTGCATGTATATATATATGTGTGTGTGTGTGTGTGTGTGTATACACACACATATATATATACATACTATATATATGAATACATACCACTATGACAAAGGATAATACAATTTCCTGGTTTGAATTGTATGTTAAAAAATGCTTTTCTGAGATGCTGGCTTTGTACATATATTCATTCTTGACTTTACCTTGAAAAAAACTACCAACAATTTTAATAACAAATAAATAATGTTATATGTATATATACACACACACACACACACACACACACACATATATATATATATATATTTAAAAATTGCATAGATTTTGTGTTTTATGTATAAGCTTCATGAATATCTCTTATGAGTAGTGGAGTAAAGCAGGATATATGTAATATCTGAGAATCATTCAGTTTTAATTGTGAAATGATTTAGGATATACAATCTGTGGTACTCTTTGGTAATACATTTGCTATTTCTTAAAAAAGGTAAAAAGATAATTTTAAACTATGTGCATTTTATCTCTAGTTAATATAGTACAGGTTGGATATCCTTTATCAAAATGCCTGGGACCAGTATTATTTCAGATTTGGAAATATTTTTATATACTCAATGCAATATCTGAGGAACACGATCCAATTTTAAACACAAAGTGCATTTATATTTCATATGACCTGATACACCTAGTTGGCAGTAATTTTATATATTTTTAGTTCTCCTGTGTTTTGACTGTGCAAGTTTTCACATGAGGTCAGGTGTGGATTTTTCCACTTGTGGCATTAAAAAGTTTTGGATTTCAGAGCATTTCAGTTTTCAGATTGGGGTGTTCAACCTGTAGTACAGCTATTTAAAACATAATAATATATAATGCTTTATTATTTTTATATTTCTAGGAAAGCAACACTAGAGGAAAAAACACTATTATAGATCAATAGAATGTTAGTTTTTCTCTTTAGTGAGCATGTAAAGTTAGATTTATAATTTTTTGTGTTTATAAAAAGAAAATTTAATACCATCATGTATGTTATTAATAATGAAATGGATTATGAAAGAGTTTTCAGGTTTTTTTTTAAATAAATAATTAAAATAGTGTTCTTATTGACCTAGTTTTCAATAATTGAAAGGCTTTTCTTCCCCTGGAGTTGTATTTTCATTAGCTCTCAGTTGTCATAGGCAGCTTGCTACTTTAAAGCTAAGTCAACATAAGAATTACACTTATTTAGAAAGAGCTGCAAACTACATTGTCAATTATTATTCATTCTTGTGTTTTCTAATCTCTGACCTGCTGTCCTCCCCTGACATATTTCTGTTTTCTATTCCTTTTTCACTTTTTCATAAACATTCTGTTCTCATCAGCACTGATAGAGTGGCCTGTTTCCTTAGTTTTAGAATCTTTTGACCTTTTTGTTTACAAGAATGAGGAAATGACTTGTAAATCATAAAGTATTTGATTTTTTTGTGTATGTGTGTTTCTAATTTCAAAATAAGACTTTTTTCCAGGTGATTGACAGATTCTGCTTGCCTTTCTTTTTTTGATACCTGATTTCTTTTTACAGTCTTAAACAATGAGGTGGTCCTAATTACAGGTGAAAATATATCATAGAAGGCATGGGACTAAAGTCAGGAAACTGAATTTGGGACTAATCACCCCAAATTCTGGTTATGTGTCACTAACTTTCCAAATTTATAAAATAAGTGTATAGTAATATAGTAGCTCATTTTCTGAGTTCCTTAGCTTAGATGATAAGAAGATTCCTGATATGCTTGAAACAGGCTACTTGAAATCATTCTAAATATAGCTTTAATAAAATAATAAAAATTACATCATGAAATATTTTATTATAAAAGTTAATTGTATGCATTTTTATTCAATTAGAGTAAGTCACTCATAGTAATTCTAGTTATAATAATTTGGAAGTTGTCCATATATCCTGGTGATCTCTGTTACAAATCAACCCAAACCATCATGAGTTAAAGCTATCATGGATTTTATTTACAATTTTGTAAGTCAAGAACTTGAAAATGATTCAACCAGGGGATTCTAGCTTAGAGTCTCTTGGGTTTCTTAAACAAGAGTGAGGTGCTGAGGTTGCAGTCACCTGAAGGCTAAATGTCCAAGGTGGCTCCTTTTTACAGTTGTAGTTGAGACTGCATGTTCTTTGGAAGCTCCTATACTGCTCTCAGTGGGAGCACCATGTGGTGGTACTTCTCAGCATATCTGTTAGATCCTTTCTGCAAAGGAGTAGTCTGAAGAGAAACATTCTAAGTAACACACTGTAGAAGCTGAGAAGCCTTTCCTGACCTGGACCTGAAAGTCATGCAGAGTTGCTTCCACTGTGTTCTATTAGTCATGCAAAGTCAGTTAGAACAGACCAGATCCTAGGAGAGCAGCGTTAGTATCACAAATATACAGCCATTTTTAGTCTACCATACCGAGTACCATATTTATGAATATTATTGAAAGAGGAAATCATACAATCGAATTTTGGCCCTAAAATTAATTATAATTGAATGAAAAAGTAAGGATATCATCATTTTTAAATTATGTTTTCTAACTATGAATAATGTGCATTTTAAAAATCACAAGGTTAAATTGGTTACATTAGCCCACAGGTTAATGGAATAATCTTATTTTGAAACCCAAGAATGTTAAAATCCTTTTAATTCTACACATCAGTATGCTTTCAAACTCAATAGATCATCTTGTCAAATATGCTGCAGAATTTTGCGGATATAATGAGAATATTGAGAGAGTATTGTTATTCATCTCCATGTAACAGATTCTTTCAGCTGAGCAAGGAACTCCAGATCCAAGAGCCTAGGAGACTAATCCTGTGCTGAGGAAAAGTGGGTAGCTCTTGTGGAGTCTGTGGTTGGAGAGAAGAATAGCTAGATCTCAGGAACCACTGCCTTAAATCAGCCCTTTGTATCAGACCACCCAGTAATGAGCTTGGACTTCTGCTGGAAAGCTGAGGAAGATAGATGCTGGAAGAGCTAACAGCTGAAAGTAGTTAGCTAACCACATGTCTCACAGCTGCTTAGTAAATCCTTCATTGCAAAGGGACCTGAGACTTAATCAACAAAGTTTTTTTTTTGCCATTGATTATCAACAGTATTTTTACTAATCAACATTTTGTTGATTAATTAGTTTAAAATGGAAGATTTGCCTCTCTTGTGTTTAGTGGGAATTATGAAGAAACTTAGTTTTCTGAAAATATGCTCACTTTTAAAATTCTTATATTTTATTCCCGGAGAAATTTTTCATGATGTTCACAATTTCACAACTTTAAATTAGGTAGATGGTAATATATTATTTACAGTTATTTGCAGACTAGCACATGCTAAATATTATATGCCATCAGAAGAAAATTCATAAAAGCCTTCTCTATCAATAACTGTGTAAATGAATTTTAGTGACCCAGAATTTTGTATTGTCTAACAAACAAAATGAAAGCACTTTCAAGGGAAAATAAGATGAAGTGATGGTGTCATTTACTATGTTTGGTGCTAATAATATGCTAAAGAAATAGAGTCTAAATGCTCAAGCAGGGAGAAAAAGGAATTAAAGTAATCCAATGAAACCGGGGGAAAAACAAAGAACTCAAGAAATTTTGTATGGAATAATATTTTGTTTAGATATTATGGCTTATCCCCTTTCCCTAAAAGAATGGGAAGTAAAGGAAAACTTTCCACTGAGGTAAGTAGTAGTTTATATTAGTCTTAGAGTATGAGATATTGTGTAAAATGGAGAGATGAGATGAAAAGAGGGCAGTAAAATCCCAAGATGTTCATGTGTAAAGCAAGGAGACATAAAGCAACAATGAATTTCAAATCTGTAGGAGTGAACAGAGATTAAAAGGTGGGTGGAAATCAAAAATTCTGAAGCTTTTGAAATAAGTAAGTAAAAGATAATGAAGGGAACAATATGCCATGCCAAAGAGTTTGGGCTTTTTTTTTTTTTCCTTCCGAAAAAAAAGATGATACTCTGTTAAATTAGGAAAAGAAAGAATTCATTCCCAATTAGAAAAATCTCACTGATAAATAGGAAAAGTGATAGATGTAAGAAAAAACATTTTAGGGGCTATTGTAGAAATTCAAGTAAGGAGCAATGAGTTCCTAGAGTAAAACAATGTGAACTAGAGAGGACCAAGTCCAAGAAATATGAGGGAAGTAGAGGTTAATGAATTAGGTATCAGATTAGGTTCATAGTGAGTAGGAGCCGAGAGTATTGAGTGACTTCCTAGTTATTATTTTAAGGAATAGGAACATAAAATAATCAGAAGTGAAGTTTCAGGGTGGGACAAGAGCAGAGCTGCATGTTGAGTTGTCATGTGTGTGGGACAGTGCTATCTATGTCTTCAGGAAGTAGAAATATTAATGAGCTGCAACAGAGTCAGGGGACTCTGAACTGAGGATAGTAGTTAGCAGCACAGAGTGGGAAGGGTCAGGGTATGTATCCATTGTGTACATAGAGGCCATCACTGTGGGTAGCCTGCACAGTGAGAAGATTAAATGCCCAAAGATTTCCAGTGAGAGGGTCACATATCATGGGTGATGAGACTGCTTAATGGCTACAGGTCTGAGAATTAATATTTAATTAAAACAGGGGAACAAATTATAAAGTATCTCTTTGAGAGTATGATTATTTTTGTTTCACTCACTATATATGCACAAAAATAAGAGGAAAGAATCAAGAATTACTCACTTCAGTCTGAAGCAACATAATGGACTAATGAGATAGATAGATGGATGATTCTTATAAACAATCATGTATAACATAATAACATTATTGGATACATTAGCTTGTATTTTTGTTAGAATATAATATTAAAAATATCATGCTATAGAGGAAATTTGAGTTTCACTATTCAGATGTAATTATCTCTCACTGTGTGAAGTTGACTTTCTTTATTAAGAGCAAAGTAAAAGAGCTAAGCTTATTATACTGTTTCTTTGATGTTTTATAGGATATAATGAAAGATGAATGCTCTATGCTCAAGTTACAGCTGAAGGAGAGGGATGAACTTATTTCCCAACTTCAGGAAGAGCTGGTAAGTGACAACAATATTTAGCCAACAGAGTATACTTTTGTTATAGACCCTTATCTATTAAATACTATCACTTATTTATAAATACTGTTAATGATTCAATCTGTTTATCAACTTTATAATTCTATAGTAATAAAATCTATAGGTCTTTGACAAGATGGAAATATAAATATGTGTGAAAATTTATGCAATTCTAGAAATAGATCTTGAAACCAGGGTTAGTCATTTCAGATTATCTATCAAAAATTTGAACGCAAAGGCTATATTGTGTTTTGTGAAGTGCATGATATAACTTCTATGAAGCAAAGTACACGATAATACTGAAAACAAGATGTATTTTACTTTTTATTTTTCATAAAGTATGAAGTGTAGCTTTTTTCATATATAATCCACAAATAAAGCAAAACACAAAATACATATAGTTCAAATTTTAGTTATTTTATATGGCATTATTAAAGAATATCAGGAAGGAATCATACCTTCACAACATGAAATATACTTGGTAGATAACAGGAAGTGCTGTGGCCAATAGTTTTCTAAGTATGCATTTTCAAATTATGGATGTGTGTAAACAGTAGTTTAAAATAAAATGTGAACATGCTGCATATACATAAAACTCATAGTACTATAAAACAAGAATTAAGAAGTGAGAAAGATTTTTTTCAAACTCATCAAGACCTCTCATAATGTGAGTAAACTAAATGCTGTAAAACAAACTGATCCGTTATCAAGATCAAAAACCAAATTGTAGCCAAAAATATTCTTTATGATTGTTTTATATTTTGGCTACATTGACAATGTCATGTTATGTAACTGTTAAATAAAATTAAATGATGAAGCAGACTTTCTAGAACAAAGCTTCCGAAAACTCCTAACATTAATGACGTATGAGACCAATTTAGAGCATTTCTTATTACTGACTCTTGATGACAGTGTTTTTTACCAAAATTTGATCTTTATTTAGACTGTGCTCTGTGACTGGATTTATGGTGTTTATTGGTCTCCTGAACATATAATTGTGACTTTTAGAAGACCTATAAACCATTACTGAAAACAGGAATAGTATTATAGACAAAAGGAATACATCTTACATTACTGAAAATAACCTTTTATAAATATATATGTAATGTTTATGATACAAAGTTTATATATTACATATTGAAAGCATTTTATATTGATACAGCCCTCTAGGAATATATTATAAAATCAAGCTTTATTTATGTAGCATACAAAAATATCTTTGAATTTAATGAATATCAAATATAGATGTTTTTGAAGATTGGAATTGTCAGTTTTAACATAGAAGAGTATTTATTCATTCACTTTGCCAGAGAGTGCTTATTTTGTATAATTAACTCAGAAAGAAGTATTCATTTTTCCTCTCAACATTAGTTGTGATCAGATTTAAAACATATGGTATATAAGAAATCAGACCTTCATTTGTTGAATGAAATGAAAAAGATAATGATTACTTCCAGAGCCAACACTACATAGCTATAATTAAAGTAATTCAATACCCCTCCCTCCAAAAAGTCTTATATTGGCTGACATACTAATATGAGGCATAAGTGTAAAATTATTATCTTCTTTTTCCTTTTCTTTAAACTCGAATTTCCCAAATTGGCTCCTTACTCTATAAAATTTCCCAGGTAGTAACCAAGGTACCATTTTAATTTTTGTACCATGTTATTTGCATAATCCTTTTGACTGTTTAATAAAGGAAAAATATTAACTTTTGAAAATATAGTTTGTTTTGTTAAATGATAATTGTTACTAAGTAGGAAAGTGTGTAAGTGATATCTACAAATTTAAAAGAAGAAACCTTAAAAAGCAAACGACTTAATAAAATAGATGGGGGGGGGGGGCAATCACATATAGTCCACCAGGATCCAAATAACTTCCAATCTTTGTAATAAATAACTTCTGACATTTTGTTAAGGTGGACATTACACTTTGTATTCACCCAAATTTGAAAATTCTAAACAATGTTAGGAGCCAGTTTAGCTGTTACTTATATTGCAGATTCATAATCTATAATAATTTAGAACTGGTTTCATTTTCTATTATTTGTCATGGGTTTCTTCTTTGATGACCCCTGCTATTATCATAAGCAATTTTATTTACCCATACATGGTAACATAAATTTAGATTTAATTAAGCCAAGAAATATTTGCATTAGGTAATTAAGAAATGTTTTTAAAGTAATTATGGTTGCTTATTTAGCCTTACTTTTAACAGTTTGAAAGGTTGGCAAAAGTTAATCAGTGTTTGGGGCAAAAGAGATCATTTTATATGCTTTTTTTTCAGTGATATATTTTTAGGACAGTGCTTCCCCAGCAACAACACTATTGACACTTTGTTGTAAGTGGCTGTGCTGGGCATTGTAGGATGTTTAACAGACTCTCCAACACTCTGCACTAGATGCCAATATGCACCCTGCAGACATTGCCAAATATCCTCTGGGGCCAAAATTACCCCCAGTTGAGAAATATCACTTTAGCGGTGCCAGGTTAAATTATAGTCCCTAAAAGAAATTGTGTTATAGGATAAAAATTTACCTGTACCCAGAGAAAAACAAGCCCTAGGGATGAGCCTTTCCTTGGGTTCTACTTTTTTAAAAAAAATATGACAGCAGAATGCATTACAATTCTTATTACACATAGAGCACGATTTTTCATATCTCTGGTTGTATATGAAGTATATTTATACCAGTTCATGTCTTCATACCTGTACTTTGGATAATAATGATCATCACATTCCACCATCATTTATAACCTCATGCCCCCTTCCTTTCCCTCCAACCCTCTGCCCTATATAGAGTTCGTTTGTCTATTCCTCCCATGCTCCCTCTCCCTATCCCACTATGAATCAGCCTCCTTTTATCAAAGAAAACATTCAGCATTGGGTTTTTTGAGATTGGCTAACTTCACTTAGCATTATCTTCTCTAACTCCATCCATTTACCTGAAAATGCCATGATTTTATTCTCTTTTATTGCTGAGTAATATTCCATTGTGTATATATGCCACATTTTTAAAAATTAATTCATCTATTGAAGGGCATCTAAGTTGGTTCCACAATTTAGCTATTGTGAATTGTGCTGCTGTAAACATTGATGTGGCTGTGTCCCTGTAGTATCCTGTTTTTAAGTCCTTTGAGTATAGATGAAGGAGAGGGATGGCTGGGTCAAATGGTGGTTCCATTCTTAATTTTCCAAGAAATCTCCATACTGCTTTCCATATTGGCTGCACCAATTTGCAGTCGCACCAGCAGTGTATGAGTGAGTGTACCTTTTTCCCCACATCCTAGCCAACACTTACTGTTGTTTGTATGCATAAGAGCTGCTATTCTGACTAGAATGAGATGAAATCTTAAGAGTGGTTTTGATTTGCATTTCTCTAATTGCTAGTGATGATGAGCATTTTTTCATATATTTGTTGATTGATTGTATATCTTATATATCATTTCCTGAGAAGTGTCTGTTCAGGTCCTTGATCGATTTATTGATTTTTTTTTTTTTTTTTGTGCTTAGCTTTTTGAGTTCTTTATACACCCTAGGGATTATTGCTCTATCTGGTGCCGCAGTCTGGCTGGGCACAATCAGGAGCCACTTGTCAAAAGAAACTAACTTTATTTTTAGAACCACACACGCCAAACAAAACAGCCTCTCAGGAAACCAGAGCCTCAACTGCCACCACCGGCTTTCCACAAGCCTCTCTCTCCCACACAAGCTTCTCTCCACCTCCCACAATCCTCCTGCTCTTGAGGCCGATTGGCTGGGTCACATGGGCGGAGCCAAAAAAGTCCCCCAGTGAGCAGCTCCGTGGTCTGAAAGGGCAGGGAAACAGCCCAATGAGCATCACCGCAGAGGAGCCAATCAGCTAGATGTTGCTGGGGCCGCTGTGAGCCAATCATCAGCCAGCAGCTGGAAGTTTGCTGGCAGCTGGAAGTTTGCTGGGGCCCCTTCGGCTGTGGCTCTCAACAATCTGGTATGTGAGGGGGTAAAGATTTGCTCCCAGGACACAGGCTCTCTATTCACCTCACAGATTATTTCTTTTGCTGAGAAGAAACCTTTTAGTTTGAGTCCATCCCATTTATTGATTATTTTTTTTTAAGAGAGAGTGAGAGAGAGGGAGAGAGAGAATTTTTTTTAATATTTATTTTTTAGTTTTCGGCGGACACAACATCTTTGTTTGTATGTGGTGCTGAGGATCGAACCCGGGCCGGACGCATGCCAGGCGAGCGCGCTACTGCTTGAGCCACATCCCCAGCCCCCATTTATTGATTCTTGATTTTAATTCTTCCACTATAGGAGTCTTATTAAGGAAGTTGGGGCCTAATCCTACATGATGGAGATTAAAGCCTACTTTTTCTTCTATTAGATGCAGGGTCTCTGGTTGTATTCCTAAGTCCTTGATCCATTTTAAGTTGAGTTTTGTGCATGGTGAGAGATAGAGGTTTAATTTCATTTTGTTGCATATGGATTTCCAGTTTTCCCAGCACCATTGTTGAAGAGGCTGTCTTTTCTCCAATGCATATTTTTGGCACCTTTGTCTAATATAATATAATATAATTTTAATTTTGTGGATTAGTCTCTGTGTCCTCTATTCTGTACCACTGGTCTACCAGTCTGATTTGGTGCCAATACCACGTTGTTTTTGTTACTATTGCTCTGTAGTATAGTTTAAAGTCTGGTATAGTGATGCCACCTGCTTCACTCTTCCTGTTAAGGATTGCTTTAGCTATTCTGGGTCTCTTATTTTTCCAGATGAATTTACAATTGCCTTTTCTATTTCTATGAGGAATGTCATTGGAATTTTGATCAGAATTGCATTAAATCTGTATAGTGCTTTTGGACATATGGTCATTTTGATAATATTAATCCATATTAATATTAATAATTAATATTAAACCCTACTCCTTAGGTTGTACTTTATGTAGGTATTTGCATATTGTTTTAGTTACTTGGGATGCTATACCAAATTATGTTAAATTGAGTAGCCT